AAGCATCGCCTCGGTTCAAAAAGACCCTTGGCCTCAAAGTACCTGATGGAAAACCTTGGTACAGCGACTTTGACGGCCTCGTCCCACAAATGTCACGAAATGCATTCCCCTCCGCATCAAGGAACTCGTCGATGTCAGCGTGGCGAGAGACGCAGACGATAACGACTGGCGAGGCGCCGGAAGGGAATACCTGTTGGTCTAGCTTGGGTGGGCAAGAGCCTGGGCCTATGCTGCCTAGAATGACCTGGATTTCACCGAGGTCGAGGGGGCCCGAGAAGAGCAGCAGTGTTTCAACATCGAACCGAAGGAACGTCTGACCCCAATGGACAACGCCCCTGGGCGTGTCGCTCTCACGGAACGCATGCTTCGCGGCGCAATCTGCCAGCTCAATGCCTTTGCCATCACATTCTGACATTAGAGGGCCAGATGATACTCGCGCGAGACGACGAGGAGAAGCGCCTGACGCAGGCGAGGTACGAACAGGTCGAGTAGGGATGTGACATGCTGGTAACGGAGCGGCTGCACCTCAACGAGGCACTCCAAGGGGACGATACCGAGAGGGAGGTGGCGTATCCAAACCGGGGGTGCTCGTGGAAGTGATTCCGGCCGAGCCCGACGGGGTTTCTATCTTTTGTTGTCAAGGACGCGACACTCAAGTGTGTTCTTTGATTATGTGGCTGACAGCGATGTCATTGAAAAAACTAGAGGATGCGACACTTAGATGAAGCGAGTTGGGTTTGCCTCACTGATGCCTCAAATATCGTGGATATTATTACTGTCCATCTTGCGTACGCTTTCTAATCGGTACGGGATAAACAGCCAGGGAGCAAGGTTCTAGGGATCTAGGCGGCGAGTGTTGAGGGAAAAAAGACATATGAAAAAATGATGCGTGAAAGAAATTGGAAATGTAATCAGTGTTAAGCATCACACTGTCCAACAGATCGTGGCAGTATTGGACAAACAAAGTGATGGGTGCCTATGTGTCTAAGCTTCCTGATCAAAAAGTAGAGCTGTATCATAGCTTCAAGGGGAAAGTGTCCCAGCAACGCTCCGCCAAGGACGGGTAAATAATATGAATCTAACAGACATAGTCAGATCATGCAGTGGGAGAGGGAAACGAGGGGGGTATTAACCTTTGAACGTCGACACCGTCGGTAGCCGTCTCTCGAGATTTATAGTGAGGGTCAAGCGTAATGTCAAAGTCGGCGTGAGTCAGAGGTAAAAGGGCCTGCCACGGTCACTGGCTGATCTCACTAAACTGACACTTCTTGCGAGACCTCACTGAGCAAGACAATACTAGGGATGGCGGAGTTGCGATGTGGATCTTAATGGCTGATTAGAATTGGTCGACGAGTCGGAGAAGTGAACCAGGCAGTTGACCGGGTTCCGAACTCAGCACAAAGAGGCCTCCGTGGCGAAATTGGCATTCGGAAATATTGTCGACACGATAATGTGCGCGGTCAGACTGAACGACAGCCACCATAGTTATGGTCACCGCCAGCCCTCAACGATGAGACGAGCGGGGTCTTGTGCCCTGTGGGTGATTCTGGGATCAGCCTCGTTAGTGTTTCTCGTATCCTCCTTACTACCGGTTTAAAGAGCCCTCTTTTGGGATACCTACTTGTTAAGTAGGGGTAAACTTCACCTACTCTGTCGCGCGTCTACTATTGATATCCTCACCGCCCTGACGGCTACTGCGTCGACCTGGATTAATCACTTCGGGGCGCCCTTAAATTATCTGAGCGCCCGAATTTTGATGATCAAGCTGGCCCTCTGGAGGGTTCGTAGAGTTCTCTATGTTAAAGGAAGGGACTGTGTTGACATCAGGTCATGATGTTATGATGTATTGAAAATCTGTTCTTTATTATAAGTGCAGCCCGGCCCTCGATGGGTTAACTGAGCCCGAAGATCGTAGAAGTAAGGGTTAAGATGGCGACCACTCTGGAGAATGCTATTCTTATAGACATGGCACTTATCCAAGAGAAAAGTTTCCATTAAAGACAAAATACCATAGAAACATAAAGATCATAAGACCAATGGAGTTCCCGAGAGCGGTTCCCAACAGTGAGGCCCACACAGGAGCCGTGTTCATGTTGACGACTCGTGAAAGAGTGGCTACTCTGGAGTTGGTCCATAAGAGCAATATCTTGAGAGCAAGGCTCGATGGAAAACAAATCTCTGATAATAACAGCCAGGAAGAGTCCCCCGTCGTACAGTGATTTATTGAGCGCAGATTCATCAGAGGATGTCCAATAAAAAGCGAACGTGCAGCATGAGACAGTCTCCCGGCCATTGAAACAGAGTACATCACTGATCTAGTCCTACTACGACACTGCCAACTACTTTTCCTTCCCCTGAGCCCACGACGGTCGTCTTTACTACGTCGATGTACGTCAGAGCGCCTCCGACTGAGGAGACAGCACTAGCTCCCACGATTACCATTGCGCCACCATCTATCTACCTGCGAGTGTCTCCAGGCGCGGAGCTCGGCGCGGAGCTCAGCGCCTGTTTCCGCTGTACCTATCAACGTGACGGCTCCCGACTTCTCCATGATTAACTTCTTGCATCCGGTTTGCAGACTGATCTCGAATTCTGGCCTGAAGTTGTACACCCAGCTTCAGGAGCAAGCTCCGGATGGCCAGTGCAGTCAGTGAGACGAACATAGCGAGGAGATTGACCAACTCTATGAGCTGCGCGAGAGGGCCAAGGACTGGGTTTCGAAGCACAATCAGCCATCACCGGCCCTAGACACTCTACTCTCTTTAATGACCTCCAAGTCGCCCAGGAAGAGGTATCCTTGCTTAGGCGCGATATGGAGAATCTCGAACGGAAGGTAATGAGCCTGGAGATGCTCATCAAAGCGTAGACAGCAAATCATGCCCGCGTCCGCACCGAGCTCCTGCGTCGCTACCCACTTGGCGATCTTCGGGCTCAATTAACCTATTAAGGGCCGGGCTATAACTATAATAAAGAATAGATCTTTAATATATTATAATATTATAATTTAATATTAATATAATAATTTATTTAAATTTCTATAATAATAGAAGAATTATACCTAGCTATATTATTATAAAAAATCTAGCCTCTTTAGGTATTTTAATTACTCTAACCTCCATACGAGAAACTTAGGTGGTAGCTGCCAGTGTGAGTTAACCTATGAGGAGTACGGGCTTAGTTAGAGCTTAAATGCAATATCTCGGCGAATTGCCAAACTTGTCTGGTTGGCGCACACATCATCTTTGAACACAATGCTACCCACTTGGCATTCTGCATGGAAGGTTTTTCGGACCTGGAGAGGAATAAAAGAAGGGTAATAGAAGGGCCTTCATTAGTTTAGTATAGATATTCATGACGAAACGTTTGTTGATGTAAAACGATGCGGCAGTAGTGGAAAGAGATGGATGGGCATATGATCATGGAAAATATCCCTGGCTTGCAGTTCACGGCTACCCGAGTCTGGTTTGGCGTAATGGAGTTTGGTGACCATGGCTGGTGGCCACTGTGAGGAAGTTCATCGATGATCAGAAAGGAGCTTCCAATCAATATCTCGTGATTGATTCATGGGAGATAATAGAGAGCCTGATGAGGGACTATCGTAGCAAAGCTGCCTCTCATTCTGACTGGTACTCGTGAGTAGTGTATAGGTATCTAGAGAGATATGCCAAATGCCTTCAAAGCCCTTATGCCCTGAGCACAACATCCATAGGTGCTTGTCGGCGTGACCTTGACTGTAGGTACCTTGAAGACCTGTAAACATCGCTGCATTCCCTGGATCCAGACATCAGCTACGCCACGGTAAAAAATAAATGCGGTACCGTTTCTCCGGAGATACGCACACGAGGCAGGATAGCTGGGGAAGCGAAGTAAAGAGACAGACTCACCAACGAGGAACGAGGCCTAATTTACTTAGGTGCTGATCCTCTCAACAGTTGCAATCGCCAATGGCCGTTGTGATGGGGCGGGATCAAGGTGGCTAAGGTGGTGTGTGGCTGAGGCTCATTTAGATCAGAAGCGCCTGGAGACGCGTCTCGTCGCGGCTTGATGGCGGATGGCGGCTGGCGGACTTCGGCTACCGGCGTTTCTACGGCTGACAATGAGCTGTCCCGCCAATCACATCACTGAAAAACTGCGCTGAACTACATGGTACATACGGCCTGAAATTCGTCAGGCCACAGCAGCTTCCGTAGTCAATTGCTATAGCCACCTACTGCCCACCCGTAGCCTGGCACGCGGCGGGCCTTGCACTCATCGCCAATGGGCTTGAGCATAGCCGGCTTCAAAGTCACTCCGGCCGCCTGCACCAAGTCATCTGACGCGGACTATAAATCTTCTCTCCTTCTCTCTTTTCTCCTCCTTCGTTTGCTATATCACCTTGGTGCTGCGAGATGGCCACCGGTCGTCGATTTTCCTCACACGCACAGACAGTCCATGGTTCGCTCCGCCCCCAAAAAAAAGAATATTTGGTCACTTCAACCTGAGACCGTTGATCAAGCTACACAGCAGGGAAGGCGATGGGTTGTCCATGATGGGCAAAGGAATCAGGGCCACTTTAGTTGAGAGGTAGACTTCACGGTGATACCTGACATGTAGCATCCAACATGTCACCTTAATGGTTCCTAATAGGGCATCGGCAATGTTCCAACGTGATAGGACTAGTGGAAACTAGGATCAAGGGTTTTCCACCAATGCGACCGTCGTGGCTTGATTGATTGCATTGGGCTTAGGAGCACACTATAAGACATGGCCTCTTGTCTTCCAGGAACACCACATGGCAGAGATCACCTGCCGACGAAACTCTAAGGGAACTCAGGGATGGTTGTATGACGACTACAAGCATTTACTAAACTACAACAGTGCAAGTCTCTAACTCTTCATTATTGGCCCATTCCTTCATCCTCCATCTAAGCCATACCGTCTATTGCTATTCAATCGCCCATTCAGCGAAGTGGAGCACAATGCATCCAGAACTGATTAACCAGCTTCCATATACACGACAATCAAGTTCTCCGGCCGGTTGCCTCACGAGCCTTTTTCTCCACCTTCTTCCTTGCTTCCCCCGCCACACCAGGACAGTCACATGCCAGAGGCATTATGAGATGTCGAATTGGGAAGATCCCATCCCAATACCCTCTATCTGGTAGGTTTGGGGCATGCTGAAGTAAACTCCACACTCTGTCTCCATAACGGTATGGGCGATCCGTAGCTGTCGGGTCTCCAACCGGTATGTATTTCTGGCACCTGGCGTGGGCGCGGAAGCCTCCGATTATGGCCATTTCGGCGATGAAAACCTGGGACGGAAGAGGCCGGGAGGAAATAGCCTCAGTAATCCAGTATTCTTTCTCGCCTCCGGGGTCCTGATAGACGGTGTTCTCGACGAGATTGGATTCATGGCCGCAAATCGAGAGGTTTGGGAAATTGACTCGAGGCAGGCTGGGAAGTAGGTCCCCGGTGTCGTCAGAAAATTCGAGTTCAGGTATATGAAGGAAGTTGGTTCGAGGGTTGAAGTAACCGTAGGGACGAGGCGACCCATCGGTCATGGGACGTGTGTGGCGGTCGAATCGTTCAAGGCATCGGCGGGCTGTGAAGCGAGACTCGCTGTTGACGTGAAAAGCGACCGGAAGGGGAGGTAATTCGATCTGGAGATAATCGCGGGTTCCGTCGTTGCAAGACTTGACGTTGACGTAGTGGACTTGACGATATGGAAGAGTGAACTCCCAGATGGCCTGTCGCACCTCTAGACAGAGTCGATTGAGACGGAATGTGGTGGCGGGAATCTCTAGCCCATCGCGAGCGAGTTGACGTGTGTAGCTTCGAGTGGAACGAGCCATCTGTTCAACTGGTCGGATTGATGGAAAGGCTGCGAGCGGATGGTTTACGTGATGTGATGGTGGGTTGGGGTTGGGGTGAACGGTTTAGCTTCGGGATGGGCCCCAGAGAAAAGCCAGGTGATATTATGTTGATCAGAGAGGAGACATTGAGAATTACAACTCTGATGAATCAAGATGAAGAAGAAAGAAAAGAAAAGGGGGTCGGTCGAGGTAAACATAGACTGTTTGCTGCAAAGCTGGGAGCAAACAGACAAGGTCACGTGAGATCTTGTACAGTGTAGCAGCCGGGTTGCTGGGCCATCGGCCTGCTGGCTAGAAAGGACATGCCGGGGGCCTTTGTGTTATGAATTTCGTGTATACAGCTGATGGGTTTGTTACAGTTGAGTTGAGACGCTTCCAAATGGTGGTCAGGCCGCGCACGCGAAACCACGAGGCGGGAGGCTGTTGGAATGCGGCCTGTAATAGGCGTTATGCTTTATTGAGAGTAAACTTGAAGGACGCTATGGTGAAGTTTCCGGTGACGCAAGGCGTATGCAGTCTTGAGCCTGGGACGCGAGGTATTAGGGGCGGGCTTTGCAAGAGACACCTGGTCATTTAGAGGCCATATATTAATAAAACACATAGGCCATAGCAAAATTAGGGGCGAGAGTAGTTAAGAAATTGCCGTTTTGACTCTGCAGCTATGGCTGTGGGAAACGGTGCTCTGGCATAGTTAACCCATCAGGAGCCGGGCTTCAACTACCCTATGTTACGTATCTCTTCTTCCTTCGACATTAATCTGTCTCCTTTAAGGGCTTGGCTATATGAAGAAAAGCCCACCATAGCCTGTCTACTCCTTATTGTCTTACTTGACGAGCCTGAGAGACCGTAATCAACAATAGCAAAAGAATCAGCTAATATTCTACTCGTCTTTCAAATAGCATAGTCTCACCTTAGGCCACTGAATAGTTCACTACACCAGAACGCCCTTCTTAAGGAACTTGGACTAGACGGTCAAAGAGAGACGGCTACAGATATGCGTAACTACCATTAGTAGTACTCTAGACCGGTATCTTGCTGCGAAAGTAATATCGAGATAAGATAATCTTATCCGAAGATTGGCTGGCGGGTGTGAATTTGAGCAGCCAAGGTGCGGCCGACAGCTGGACATTGTGTGCTCAATGCTCGGACAAGAGGCACTACCAATGATCATCATCGGAAGGATAAGAAGTGGATGCTGCGACGACTGCAGGGGAGATGCTCAAACAGGAGTTCAAACACCCATGCAACTTAAGTGATTTGTTGATAGACGACTTGGTAGTTCGGCTTCCCTTTGGGCAGGACAACTTTCCGGCCCGCAACGGTCTGACCACTCAGTCGTTCCAGAGACGGCATTATAGCCGCGGCTTCGTGGAGCTAGGTCGCAAGATAAAAGCCTTTCATCTTGCAATGATTGCTATCGGAGGCTCGACCAGCTCCGGCTTCTTTATCAGGTTTGGCTCAGGGCTTAGCCAAGGCGCGAGTTAAGATGTTCAGCAGGCCGAACAAGTTTCTAAGGCTTTCAGGGCACTATAACTCTCTTCCTCGCTTACTTGGGTGTCAGTTTCATGGTCTTCAACGTCGACATGTCTTTCCCTTGTACCACCTCGGTTCAACTTGTGAGCTAGCCGATAACGCTCAAGTCTACGCTCTTCATTTATAACTTCCTGAATCTATGTCTTCTCATGGGACTTTGTCTTGCCACTCGAGCTCATGGACACTGGTTACGCTGACCCCAAAGCGTCGCCGGTTGTGCTGACTGGAAAGCACTCGGGACTATGTGGCCTGGACTATTCTATGGAGACAGGTGTCATTGTATCAGTTCTCTCGATTGTTGTCGAATATGTCTATAGCTACTACCGTACAATAACTGCCCTATATTAGCGCGGGTATGTTCCTAAGTTCATCACCTATGTTGACAGGGCTCGCCGGCTACTAACACTGGTGGTGCCGTGGCTATCAGGTTGGTATCCGCATCGAGGAAAGAGAGGCAACTGAAGATGGCCTAGGACCGAGTTAGCTCTGAGACTAACTCGATAATAGAAGGCCCAAAAGCTTGCACTCACAGCGCCAGTAGAGGAAATCCTTCGAGTATATGTAACTGGTACTGCTGGAAAACACGTCAGATAAATTTCTTACGTTGAAGTTGGAAAGGAGCCGCGAACTCAGTATAGAGAAAGTGGTTTAGAGAAGGGCTAGACATTATTTCACCTAAGGAACCATGCGAAAACAGACGTTGAAGTTCGGCTTTAACACCTTTGTACTCGGGACACACGTAGTAAGAGAGTAGTTAGAGTGATCTCGCATGTATCAACAGACGTCTTGCATAAATTCAATCGCATCGGCCCCATTTTCACCTTGTACCTTTGCCCTGGGGTTGCTTCCGTCTGCCACCCCTTTTAAGTTTACCTTGGCGTCTGCTGTCCCCCAACCATACGGGTGAAAGGCGTCTCCAGAAACCTACAACAGATAAGCGCAGCTCATCTCTTATAAATACGATCACTGCCAAATCGTCACCGTATGTCTAGGAAGGTGCTGGAGCAGCACTCCGGCTTGAACTAGGCTCCTGTACTCTTTTATGTCCCTGGCTCGCATTCTGCTTGCGTCATTCACTCCATTGGCAACACGGGACCGGCGAGGGAAGACGGGTTCAGCCTTGTCGTTTGTATTATTTACTCCGGCTCATGGTTGGGTAGCCATCAGATACTCCACGTGTTTCATGATTACGGCCGTGCCGTTTCTATGTGATCTGTCTGGAGTTGTTAGACGTGATGTGTCCTTCATCGATGCGATGGGTCATCTCGTTACTTTTTGCTAGGCCCGAAACGCCGTCCCATGCTACGGGCTGTTGCTGATCAATGAGTCACCATCTCGCTTCCCTTTTTTTACGAGATAAACTAGCTGGAATTCTTGGCAGCAGATGATGAAGCTAGATGAAGCTTGAAGGGTCGGGCTCACAATTTCGAAAAACATGCATTTTTATAGTGACAGTTGGATTCCCAATGTGAAAGCTTATATGACTGACTACTCTTGAGATAAACTACACAGTTATGCCGAAGAGATGTCGAAATTCATGCTCTCACGCACAAGTCTAGTCTCGTGACAGCATCTCCTCAGGGGCAAGGCTGGGTTACTGTAGAAGTGAGAGATAAATTGTGCAGCCTTGTTCGGTTGTTGATTCATTTTCATCAAGCCTGCCACTCTTAATAGGTCGCATCAACTTATCCACCCCTTTGAGCCCTCGATTCATAAATGATTCACAAGTGGCTGGCAGCTAGTATGGAGAACGGGGATTCGCCACTGCCTAAGGCTAACTGTCATGATGCTGTTTGCTTTATCAGAGGTCGGGGTCATGAATAGGCGAATGACGCATGGGTCATGGTATGGGACATGATATTATTGCTTCATACGGACTTCAAGCCCGTTAATAAAAGGCCATCGCTGAATCTCTTTTGAATAGGAAAAGCTTCCTGTGTGTCCACTCCGGTTATAGCCAAGAGCATACATGGCTTGCTTACCGCTTGATGCCTTATCCAATAGCGCATGACAGATCTCTGCCGGCTTGTGTCGTCGCAGCCAGATCAGGGAGAGGATAATGTAGTACTGCAGGTCAGTCGATATCTATCCGTGCGACAGAGGCCGCGATCACCTCGAGCATGTACTCAGTTAGGTTGGCACCCAGAGGCAACTGGAGACCGCCGTTTCAGGTGAAAGAGTTGCCCAATACCAGTGAATTCCTATCAATATTTCCGAACTACACGGTTTTAGGGCCTTTGTTTAGGTGGAGCAAACGATTAAGTCGCTAAAAGAGGATTGCTAATGCTTGGCCAGAGTTTGTGGGCTTCTCTAATAGGTCATAGACAGACGAAGGGATTTAGCTATTAAGGCTAGAAATCCGCTTGTCAAGAGAGACCAAAAGTTATGGTCTAGTTACCAAGTCAACGCCAATAACCAAGCATTTGCATTCCTCGATAATTAATCCCTTGCTAGGAACTCTGATAATAGGATTAGGGCATTCTTACACAGCTATAAAGCGAACCATGGAATCCACACAGTAAACTTTTTCCAAGTCCTGTGTTGATCCGGCTGACGTAGTAAGGCGCTAAATGTCTCGGCCTCTTTAAGCATGAAGGTATGTAGGTAAAGGTCTTGTTGCGTAATATAACCAGTTTTCCGTTGAAAAGATTAATCTCGAGGCATCCCGTCGATAAGAATCGAGCCTAAAATCACGCCTATTATAATATGGCTGGCGAGGACATCTAGAAGCATGGTCTTCCCGGCTCCTATAACTCTATATAGCAATGGGACATTAGCAGAGTTGACCCTAAGCCGGAAAACGATTCTTTTCAGTTATGCTTAGAACTCTCTTAATCTATTCTACATATTTAATGACGTACTTATTAGACACATAATAAAAGAAACACGAAGCGACACACGGTAACATTAAAACCCAATGCTGCGAAACACCGTAGCTCCCAGTCTGTTCAAAGGGGAATGCGAATGAAAGAGAACGTAAAGACGTACGATGAGAGTAGTCAGGGTTCTAGGATTCGCCCAACCGTTGACATGATCAAAGATACGGCGTGTTTCACCCCTGACTTGAACTTCATAACATACGTTAGTCCAGGGGAAGACATATTTTCGAGATTCGATTGATCCAGAGCTACTGTTACCGCTGTCCAGCGGCTGAGTTGAAGCGGTCGGCTGCGATTCAAAGACGTTGGGCATACCCTTCTGACGATATTTGATAGACTTGCGTTTGAAGACCAGGACTTCACCCTCGGACGGCTCCGAAGCGACATACTCCGTGGCAACCAAGTGTAGGACGAGAAAGAAGATCATCGCCAGAGCAGATCCTTTGCTCAGGACTAGCGTCTTTGTAGCCCAGGTAGAACGATAAGCCAAGTATAGCCATAAATCCGGGTCATGCGTATGGTCACTGTGACAGGCAGACTCGAGCCCGTATCAATAACCGAGTTCTACCAGAAGCTACATACCCCCATCAGTAAGATTTAGCGCTTAGGCATCTGGCATGAACGTCGTAGATTCGTCGGAAATAATAGTGAATTCAACTCCCCCGAAACAAATTGCTGCACATGGCGCATGGTTAGAACCAATCAACCAGTTTTCGGCGCGAGCATAGCATACAGTCATCTCGTGACGCCTTGAGATGCGTGAGCTCTGAGGTGTGTGCTGATGTAGCCTCGAAGGTGCGCTGAAACTCCTAGAACCGTACAGAGAAGATATAGGACCAACGGCAGGCCTACTGGGTAGGATCCGTCTTTCAAGAGCTGCGGACGCATTGTCATTGCCGATGACGACTTAGGAAGACCCCGATACTTAACTGATATTGGGCAGCAGAGGTTATGTTTACACGGCATGTGTGGGCTAAAAGTTCATCGGCATCTCGGTTGGTCGGAATGCCCAGTACATGCCGGAATGGCCGCCCAGCGAGCATGCCTCGTCTTAGAAGAGCTTTAGGCGACATCTTTTAATATTATAGGGGTCTAATTGAGGCCTGTCGATAGGAAGTCGCAGTTATATATCGTGCAGACGTGATTAGTTTAGACTATGTATCTTCGCCTTTGTGGAATACAAGATTGACTTCCGCGGGCTTTGGAATGAGGGCACCGTCGTGGGATGCGGGAGGCTTCTCCACTATGGGCACGAAGCCGTCGAGGCCGTGGACGACACGACGGAGCTGCCATCACCGGAGTCCACTCGGATAGGCCCCCCAGTCCCCCAAACGCCGATGTTCGCACTCAGAAACGGCAGTAGGAAGTAATGATTCTGGTGAGACCTACTACAATACGCTGAACAATGCCGTAGTTGATGTAAGGCCTAGATAACACGCAAACACGATAGGGCAACTTCCTATTTATGAAATAGATTGGCTTCTAAACAAATTTGAAAAAGCTCCAGCTCACACTTCTTACGGGTATCGACTCTTTGCGTTGAGGTTGCTGATGGAGCGGCGGCGGTTTATTTGCCCATCGAATGTGGAAGCATGGCTGAGGGGCCCTCCGGATAATATGTGGTCTCGTTTCCCATTCAAGCCGTTCAATCCCTGCCGGCAGCGTCTCTTTGTTGTAACAGAGATCATCGGGCTATAACCTACCCCTCCATGGATCAGCAATTCTTCAAAGGGCTTTCCTTGATTAAGATGAACTGTTCTCAGACAACAGCGTTTTGCCGAATCGACTCACGATTGTGAGCCCCCCCTCCCCCTCTCATGGAATCAATCGGTTCCAAACCGAAGACGTAAGACTCCAGGACGCATCGCCTTCGATGCTACGCAAGGCTATGTCACCTAGGCGAAACCTGATAGTGGCTATATTCTTAGACAAATAACTTTCCAAGCAACAAAGATTTCCGTTTAAGGGAGCGAAGCAATAGAATTTCTGAGTACACTATACCGCGCATCGATCTCCGCCTGTATATAAGCTGGTAATATGAGATAGCTTAAGAATGCAACGCTTTATCGACACAACCAGGTTGACACTGTTCTAGCTGAAGAGCAACTTCGTCCCAGATCGCAGCAGCCCACTCTTCCCCTTCAGAGTTGGAAACCCATTCAGGAACCCATCGTCTATGATACAATTAGATGAGTTGCTTAAGAACGGCTATGCTGGACTGCTTACTCTGTATCTTCACAATATGAGAGATATCTGCCGTGGCTCTCTCTGCCGGCTGCCATACCGAACAAAAGCGATCGACTACCCCACTCAGCACTGCGGCCAACTATCAGACGCAAGACCGTGGTAATCATCTTTGTATACAACGTATAATAACGGACAAGGCCGGTATTACAGAGACCAGGGTTAACGAAGTTGACAACGACGCCTGTTTCCTCGACAGGAGCTAGCTCCACAAAACGTCGAATTGCGAGGATTTGTAGCAGCTTCGACAGGGCGTATCTGTTGACATTAGGACAAAGAAAGTAAGTTTCACGTCACCGGACTTGCCTGTTGACGCCATCCATGCTCCATTTTGCAGAGTTGTTCACATCGGTAAGAATACCGTGATTCTTGTCGATTTTGGCCCAATCACTCTTGCGGCCCCATGCAAGGCCACTTGTGAGGAAGCTGACTCTAGGTGTGCAGTTAAATTGTTTGACACCTTTTCGAAGGTAGGGCATCATCAGCACCGTGAGGAGTAGCGTTCCGACAACGTTGACGGCGATGCTACTTTCCATGCCTTCGACGATGCTCCACGATCCATCAGCCGCTGCAGCGTTGTTGATGAGCCCGTCAACTCTCTCCAAGTCTTCCTCGACCTTCGTAGCAAACCTCTTGACGGAATCAAAGTTGCCTACATCGAGTTCCCATATCTCTGCCACGCCCTTGACACCTGTTTCACTCTCAACTAGTGCAAGAGCATCCAGGCCTCTTTGCCGAGAGCGGACAGCCATGACAACCTTTTTGCAACCAAGGGTTACGAGATGCTTGACACATTCGAAACCAAGGCCACTGTTGGCTCCGGTGATAATGAAGACCTTGCCGGCGCACTCGGCAGAGGGCAGGGTAATGGGGAGAGAGCTGTACTGATACCGGAACAAGGTCAACGGTGCAAGCTCAGAAGACTTTTGCGAGGACATGGCAATTGTGAGTAAGTAAAAGATAAACTGGAGAGGTTAGGGGAAGGGCAATGATGTACAGGAAAGCAGCCCAGATGACACTCTTATATAGATCAGCAAGACATTGCTTGGTAGCGACCTGGCTTACGATTGTTCGGGCATGGTCTCCGTCTGAGACAATGTTCAAGCCCGCGAAACCCACTTTTCATGAAGCCAAGAACGTATCGAGGCGTTCGCCAAGGGACAGCTACTCTTGATTGGTAAGTTCAAGGGGGCGTTGATAAGTCACTGGGGAGGCAGGCCAATCAGGAATTGGCTTCCCAAAATGGCAACCAATTCCACATTGGTTGATCATTCTGTCAGCAAAAATTGCTGACGCGGCTTTGGGGCCGTGATTCATCTGCGAGGTTGTCATATGGGATAAATTCCACTCCGGAAAGATTCATGGCAAAGCTCGCCAAACTCGATAAGAGCCGGGTCCAATACGACTTTATATCTGAAGTTGCCCGAAGCAAATATCTACCGTTGGCCCAAACTGGCGGACTGCTCTAAGCACATCATCCACAGTGGATGAGCTGGTTCGTCCTGGAGCCCAGATATCCACGGATATCTCTTCAAAATAGTCATGGCCTGCGACCAGACCGAAATTCCCAACTTGCCCACTGTCTCTTTTAATTGTGGAATGAGCCAGCCGTGATCATCGTCCTCCAGGATTGTGCTACCAGAAGCCATCAGCATCCAAAAATGCGCCTCGACATGATCAACCATAGCTTCAACGAAGCTAGAGCAATTGAGTCGAGAGGCGCACTGACGAGAAACAAAACAGTATTGTTTTCGCCTCTGGTGATCGAAACGAAGCAACGCCAAAGTCATAAAAGAGGCCAGAACGATATGCGTTCCTCTAGCCACAGGATCCACCATATACTGTCCAGCGACAGTGTCGACACCCAACAGTCGATAGAACAGGGACATGACAGTTTCTTGAAGAAACCCCGGCCTCAGATCTGGGGTCGTAGCAGTAGCGGACATGAAGTGTGCCAGTCTTGCAATATCTCGAGCTATAAAGTAGAGCTGCTTGTTGGTTTCTTGAAGGGTTCGCCTGAAGGGGCCTGGGAGGTCAAAATCTGACAGAAACAACGGAGCTATGGTTGGCTCTGAAAACATTGGAGTAAACTCCAACTGCAATGGGATGCCAATCTGCATGGCGACATCGACATCGATTCTTGTATCGTTTGGTCAACTTTCTGTTCTACTACTGCACCTGAAAGGAATGCTACTGACCTTCTAACCTTATCCATGAGCGCCGGGCAAGCTACCAATGAGCCAATTCCACCCCTAAGATCAATGATCTTGATTAAACCCTTAAGATGCACCATCATCTTTTTGACGTCTTGCCTCAAATACGAGTGCAGACACATTGAGATGACGCTCGCAATAGAGATTTCCGAAAGCGCATCTTGACCGGCTAGCTTTGCATTGAGAAGTCGGAGGGCACTGCAGTGGTGGTGCATCTCTGCCCTTGTAGTGCTCTCTCCGTTGGTAATGCAATTGAAGCAAGCTGCTGACATGGCGAGAAAACTATGAAAGTCTGCAAAGTTAACAGGGCATGCATGCAAAAGAATTTTCATTGCGACCTACAAGCGTCATCGACGAAAAGATACTCAATAAATATAGCTTTCGACGCTCTTGACCCGAGGGAGAACTGAGGCGGATACACCATTTCGGAGAAGCGGAGCAAAACTGACCTAGTCAGATGTATGTTTCTCATACCAAAAGCAACGCTTCTCAACTTACATGACGATATATCTTTCCTATCTTGGTCAGATACGTGGTACGGAGATGTAATTCTTCCAAGCTCATCGCCGATATTAAAGAGTACTCTTGGCGAGAAGAGCTCGCCGGTATTTAACTCGTGCATGGATGATTGAGAGTAGTGGATCGGCGGAAAGGCAATATTGCTTTGTGTTTGTGTAATCTTGCTTCGGGAAATCGGAGCGACTTGCTGTTGTCGCCTTGGAAGTCGCTTCTTGCCCACGTTCTTGCCCCTCATGACATGGCTCCGTATTAATCGACGAGACACAGGGTTCACAGAACCGGTGTTAATGAACTGATATTCAGTGTCGCACATACTGGCGGTATATAATGAATCTTAGAACGAGGGATAAAAGTAAGAAGAAGAGAAGGTGGAGGACCCGTTGGCTTATGTGGGGCTATGGCCCCGGGCGATTTAATATAATATTATATCCATAATAACCGCTAGCCCCCCTCGACCGCTATATAACTAAGAAGATTTTTATTATTATAAAAATATTAAAATCATTATAAAGAAATATATAATAAATAAGGAAATTTAAAGAGTTTTATTACTTATATTATGATGAATTTTTATTTATATTATTCCTTATTTACTTAAAGAAGTTAAAAATATACTTATTAAGCTAATATAATAAATTTATATATAAATTTATAAAAATATTATATTTTTACTTCCTAATTATAATAAATATATATTTAAAGCCTATAAGTAAGCTAATTATACCTAATAATACCTTTTTAGCTAATATAAAGCTATTATAACCCTCTTATAGCTATATAGCTTATATTAATATAAGTATCTTTAATAAAATTACTTATAAAGGTAATAATACTATTATTACTACTATTTAGCTTTATTTACCTTTTAAACCTTTTTTTTTATACAATTATATTACTTTAAGATTTTTTTTAAGATAGGCTAAGAATATCTTAATTACCTTAAGTCCCTTATAAAGTTATTTTAATATATATTTATATATATATATCTTATACTTAGGTTAAGGCTTTAAGTATTATACTTATTTTAATTTTATAAGGGTTATATAATTACTTATAAAGCTATTAATAAGGCTACTTATTAAGTTAAGAGAAAAATATACTAAGCTATTTTAGGCTACTAAGTAATTTCTTATATATAAAAAAGGAAGTAAAGGCTATAAAGCTTTATATTTATTATTACTTTTATATACTTTAATTAAAAGACTTTTAGGCTCTTTTAAGAATTATATTTTTATTATTATTAATTAATTAATTACTCTTATTATTTTATATTATATTTACCTTATAAAAAAATATATAAGATTTTTTTTTAAAAAGACCTTAAAAAAGTTATATAGAAATTCTTCCCTTTTAGTTATATAATTTAATATGTTTTATTTCTGTAAAAAATTATAAGGCTTATAATACTACTTATAAGCTTACTTATAAGCCTACTTATAAAGATCTTTAAAAGCTATATAATATAACTTATAAGTTTACTTATAAAAGTTCTTATAATCCTAGTAAGGTACTTTATAAAGGAATTACTTATAGAGTTATTTATATATTACTTATAGCTTATAGGCTTAAAGGGATATTTTTTTTTTTTATAATAATATAAGACTAGCTATAAAGATTTTAAATAATATTAAAATTATAGATTTATAATAAGAATCTCTTAAGATTTTAAAAATAATAATAAATAATTATTTTTATAATATTATAAAAGGGATTTAAAGGAGGTATTATAAGTTATTACTAAAGGTAATAATCTTTTTTTATAAAAGGTTTTTAAGCCTTAAGGTAAGCTAAGGTAATATAATAATAAAAAAGCTTATATTATTATATAAACTTATACTTATATAAGTATAAAATAAAATAATATAATTATAATAAAATAAAATAAAAATAATAATACTTATAAGTAAAAAGATTAATAATAATATAAGTAATTATTATATATTAAATTTATATTACTTAAAGTAAGGATTAAATATTGTTATAAAAGTCTTAATAATTATAATAATAAAGGCTTTATACTTAAGGCTAAGAGGCTTAATATACTTAAATTAATAAAGTTTTATACCTTATTATTAATAGCTTTAATAATATATTAAAAATAACCTTATTTATAATAAATAAATTACCTCTTAATTAGCTAAAAAGCTTTTAATTCTTTTATATAATAATTCTCTTTTTTAATATTAACCTTTTAATTACCCTTATAATTTTTAATTAATTAAAAGTTAGAATTATTTTTATTAATATTACTAATAAAGATTTAATAATTATCATTATTATTTATAATAAAAATAAATTACTTAATTATATTATAATACTCTTTTATTAAGATGTTTAACCTATAGATTAAAGTAATACAATAAATATATATAAAAATAAACTTATTTATAATAAGTTTCTCTTTACTTAGATAATTATTAGCCTAAGCGATTAGCTCTATATAAGGCTTAAAAAAAAGGCTTTTAATAAAGCTTTTTAAGGTATTATATAGAAAAAATAGCTATAAAATAATAATTAAAAGATTATATTAATAATCTTTAATTATAAGATTTCTTTTCTATTTAGCCTCTTTTTAAATAATAATAATTATAACAATTAATTTAATTAAATTAAGGTAAAGCTCTTTAGGCTAAATAGACTTTAATATAAAATTAAGTAAAATAAAATATTTAATTAGCCTAAAAAGCTATTCTTTTAAGCTTTTAATAATATAATACTAAGTTAGCTATATAATAGATAATTTATAATATTAATTCTTACTAAAAATATTATTTATATCTTATAATATATATAATAAAGTATATTAAAGAGATATTATTATAGCTATAAATTAATTATAAAGCTAAAAGAGAAATATTAGGTTATAGGAGTAATTAATATTATAGATCTTAGAGATTAATATTAAAATTTAAACTTAAAAGTTTAGCGCTAATTAGCGATATTAGACTTAATAATAAAAGAAAATATAAGATTAATTTATTAAACTTATTTAATTAAATATAAGATATATATATCTCGGCCTATATAAATAAGTAATAATAATAATCTTAATAGTAGTTTTAATAATAGCTAGCGGTATTATAACTTCGGTTAATAAGCTAATAGCCCTATAGAGATAGCTTATAAGGATATAAAAAGCTTCTTACTAATAGGCATAGGCGACCTTTTATACCTTTATAATACCTTAATCGCGATAATTAAAAAGAAAGAAAGGGATTATACTTATAATATTAGTATATAAATAATAAGGTAATACTATAAATATATAAGCTATAAATAGCTTAGTAATCTCCCCTTATAAATATTTTGTCTTATTATTTATCTCTTAGCTATGTAATATCTTTATATATAGGCCGCGATTATTACTAACCGCGAGAACCTAGTCCTATAGACTTATAAGGGTATATTTAGGCAT